GATAAAAGATGATATATCGACACAGTTTAGAGTGTCATTGCGCCCGGCCTCTCAGGAAGCCACAAGTACATATTTCCTGAAATACCTGCCAACACAATATCGAATCCACATGCCACTTAAGCATGGGAGGGGAACCTCAGCATCTCACTAGTTCACGCCTGGTTTCCTAGCTCTAGGTTGGGAGACACCCCCTCCCCCCACCCCCGGGACCCGGGTCTCCTGGACGCCCCTCCCCTGGCCTATGTCTTCAGTCCAAGTAATCACTTAGACACGGGCCTTAATAAATACGTCTGAGAACTGTCCTTATGTTCGGTAAATATTGGATTAGTTTTTCAATGACCAGGCTCTTGAAAAGGCTGGAGAAATCCACACCAGGTCTCAACTAAGCCCAACAGTCAATAGGTAAGAAAAATAAGTGATTTCCCTGGCTGGGGTGGGGGTGGGGGGGTGAGAAGGGGGTTCTTAGGCGTATGGAGTTATCTGATTCTATTAAATACCACAGTGGTACTAACTAGGAAAGGGGGGTGGTGCTCAGATTTTGGATTAGCCATAATGCCCACCATCTCTGTTCTGCTCCTTAGGGCAGAATCACATTGCCCCAAGGGGGGGGGGACACCTGTGGGTTCTATTTTTCTTTCCACCGCACTCAGCATGAGCTTTCTGTTTAGCACACAGTTTTTGTTGTTGTTTGGGTTGCTTATGGGAGCGTTTGAGCCAGTTCTTGGGGAGGGACATGGCCTGAAAGATCTCCCACTGCCCCGTGACAACGTGGACTGCCTAGGTGAGGCGCAAACGGCCACGTTCCGGGGAAGCTTTGCTCTGTCTCCCTGATGCTGAATTTTGCTAACAAAACGATGCTGGAGACATTAAGAATGAAAGAGGAAGGCCCTCTCTCCTCCTACCCCGGTGGGGGGTAAGGTGAAGATGGTAAAAGAAGTTTTAGATTGGTTTTCCGTAACACCCAGATCCCCGTGGGATCCCTGCGCACAATTCCAATGACGAGGTGTTAGTAACCGAGTGGTGCTGCATGCAGAGAGGACACGGCTCGGAACCAGCTGGGCTCAGGCCTGAGGGCCCCTTGGACCTCCCTGAGCCTTTCCGGGCAATGCGTGCAAGGACGGCTCCGGGCGCCAGGGCGTCAGGACGCATCCATTTGGGAACCAGGGCACTGGAGGTTCATCTACTGGGACGGCGAAGCCAGAGAGGGCCAAGCATCCCCCAGGCCCTGAGCACCCAAAGTCCTGAGCCCGGCACAGTCCGAGGCTTCGATGCGGGGTTCCCAGACAAGGGGAGCCTAGCTGCCGGCTCTGAGGAGCCAGACACGCAAAGTGCGCGAAATGCATCCAGATACTGAAGGTGCCTAGAGTTACAGCTGATATTTGGTAGAAAAGATGGGGGGTTGGGTTGGGGGGTGGGGGAAGTGGGAGAGAGATCTCTTGAAAGAGAGAGAAAGGGGGGGGGGGAGATGGGAGGAGAGGAGAGAGAGATCCAGCTCTCAGTGTGTCTCGGGGCCTAGGCGGGCAGGCGCCCTCTGAAGCCATCAAAGACAGGGGTGGCTTTTTCCCCTCCTCCCACCTCCTCCCCAATAGATATAGCACGAATTTTTAATGCGTCTTCCTTTCACAGACAACAATAAAGGGTTTGAAAGCCGGACACAATTTGGGTTTTGTGCGGGTCCCTCCTCGCGCTCCCTCGGCCCAGCTGGCCATATGGAATCCAGCATGGAGCCCGAGGATGACAAAGGGACCCAGTGACAGGCCCAACAAAACCCCAAGGAGACTTCTGCCTGACTCCGGGATTCACTGCCGATAAGCGCGCTGAATGGTGTGGGGTGGGTGGGGGAGGGCGGCCCCTCTCCTTCCCTTCTCTGTCCCCAGAGACCCATTCTCTGTCCCTTTTTAATATGCACGCCTCTAACATCCCCAGCTCCCAGCGCCCCCATTGTGCCGTTTTGTGCGGCCCGCTGTAGATTGGGCGAAGATAGACTGCCAAAGCGGGCCGCCGCCGGGTGCGCTCCCAGGGCGCGGGGGTTAGGGCCACACAGGGCTCCACGGGCGCTTTTATTGACTCCATGGGGACCCGAGGACAGAGAGGGGCGGGTGCCGGGCCCACCTCCCTGGCTCCCTGCCGCTCAGTGCACACCCCAACCGCAGGCCCACGGGCTTGGCCACTGCCCCAAAGCACACACAGGGAGCCCTGCGAGAACTGGGACTTTCCACGCAGCCTCCTTCCCCCTCGGCAGTCTGGAAGCTCCCATGGTCCATCTGGGCCCAGGGGGCCCTGGGGTCAAAGACTGTGGTCTTGGGGCTGGGCCTCAGGCTTCCTGACAACCCCACTCCCAGAGGCTCTGCACGCGCACCTCCCTGCGGGAGGATGTGGCGGTTACAGGAAAGTTAGGAGCAGGATGCTCAGTGGTTGGCACCGCGGCAATTCGAGCATCCGCTGTTGCACAACAAGCGAGGAGGGCAGAGTCCTCCTGGCCTCCACTCAGCGAGAACAGTTCCACGCCAGCGTGGGGAACAAAGGGAGACTTTGCAGCGTCTAGAAGCCCTGGGCGGACCCGGAGGAACCCGCACCTGGGAAGGGACATGTAGGAGCCGATGAGAAAGGCTCCGGGCCCCCGATTACCCGAGGCGGGTGGGCGAGGCGGGAGGAGCGTTTAATCACGTCCCTGGGCGGGGAACGCTGAGTGCTATTGACGCGCAGAGTTGGTCACACGGATAATCATGTTTGCTTTAGATATTGAATTAAAGCTGATCGCCAACTAGAGGGGGAGCGAGAAGTCAGCTGGGACCGCTCCCTTTGCTCGGCCTCCTCGCCGCCCCCTGCCCCCGCCCCCGCTCCCCGCCACCCACGCGGAGTGAAGCTGGGGAAGGAGATGGACAACTTCCCGGGGGACAGGCTTTCAGCGCGGAGGCGCCTCGGAGCGCTCGCTTGGCTCTCAGCTACAGAGCCTCGTGTGCTTTTGGAAATCCGTGAGCTATGAGAGCGCGATGCCCCCTCCTCCCAGGTCCGCGCGAGCCCGCGTGGGCAGGTGGGCACCAGCATCCGCCAAAGGGGGATGGAACCAGTTGTCTCCCGGAGAAGGGCCGACGCGCCCTCCCCTGGGCCCACCCGGGGCTGTTCACTTCACGCTCCTCTCATCCCAATCTTGGAGGCCGGCGCACCCCACCCCACCCCACCCCACCTTCAAACTCAACTTTTTAGTAAGCAATCCACCCAACTTCAGGCCCAAAAGCTGGCCTAGGGCACTGCGCGCAGCCAAAGGCGAGGAGATGACGAGAATGGGGATCCAGTCCCAGGTCAGGGGGCTTGGAGCGCAGGAAGGGTGGGTGGGGGCGGAAGGCAGGGGGAGCCTCTGTTAGCAGGTATTGCCACGGACTCCTGCCCCCCGGCTCCCCCAAGCCAAAGAGCCTAGAGGAGGCGCAGCACCCCACTCCCCTCCCTGGCGCCCCTCCTTACAGCCAAAGCCTAGAGCTCCCCGAACCCCCTCCCGCCCCCGAGCCCAGATCTTGGGGCGGTCTCCGGGGCCGCCTCGGGTCGCGGATTTTGAAAAGGGGGTGGGGATAGAGAGAAAGCCGACTAGTCTCAGCCTCAGCCTCAGCGCCTCCCCACCCCCTTAGCGCGAGGTAAATCAAATGCAACAAAGTGAAAGTCATCGAGTGGTAGTGGCCTTCACAGCTCCTCCAGGCTGAAGGGGCCACTCGTTGAATCGGGTCAGCGAGGGGGCTTGCTCCCTCGACTTTGCATTTTCCAAAGTCACTTTTTTGTGCCAAAACCCGGACGCCCCCGCTCTGGATTCAGACCGCGCGCGCGGCCGGCGGGCGACCCCGGGCGAAGGTTGCCGGCTCGAAGGCCCGAGGCCAAGCGCTCGCTTCCCAACGGGGGTTCTGAGATGCGGGGCCTGAACCGCCCGCCGGGAGGAGGCCGGCCCGTCCGGGGAGCCTTCCCTGCGCCCCGGGCATCCCTGGCCTGGCCCCCGTTCACAGACCAAAGGAGAAGCGCGGGGAACAGAGCTGCAAGCGGCTTGGCCGGGGCCCTTGCCCGAAGCCTCGACCTGGCGCAGGGCGACAAAATAGGACAAACCGGGAGGGCCCCGGCGTGGGGTTTTTTTTAAACACAGGATTTTTATTAAAATTCTTATTTAAAAAATCGAAAGCTTTCAGCGCCCGGCGCTCTTGGGGAACCTCACGGAACCACTGGGCCCCAGGTTGGGGGCTCAGGACCCGGGTGATAGGGCAGGGGCTTCGCGCCTATACATGTTCCTTTTTTATATTTGAGAAATGTTTGCACTGAACAAAATAAAAAGAGAGAAGGAAACAGAGGTAACCAAACGTAAGCAAACCAAAACAAACCACAAAGAAAGGAGGTGGGCCTCTAGGGAGGACAGGCCCGCCCCGAAGGTCATTTTGGCAACAATCACCACCGATATTTACAACGAAAAGCGAAATCTGCCACCAGTTGTCAGAACGTTCACATGGCCATAAATAGTTAGCATTTTCTTAGAAAAAGGAGACAGAGATCCTCTATACGTTAACGTTCTCCACTTGCTTTAAAAGAAGACTGCTGACAAGATCGCTACTCACGCAAACATATTTAACAAAATTCACAAAAGCAGGGGGCAGGGGAGGGAGGTGGGTCTTTTTCTCCTTCCGGAGTCAGGACGTTCACTCTGAGTCGGTTTGGGTCCCCGTCCTCCCCCTCCGGGGAGAGGAAGGAGCGGAGCTGCGCAAACTTTCTGTAAACACGGCTGAAGGAGTTCACCCTCTCAAAGGTTCAAAAGGAGCGCGGGGCCGGCGGCTCTGGGCGGATGGGTCTGCCACTCCAAGGAGGTGCAGGCAGCGTCCCGGCGCCTCCCCGACGGAGCCCCGAGTCAACTCGACTCCATGATGATAATAATAATTATTATAATAACAACCAGGACCAAGTTCTCCTCGCCACGGCCGCTGCAGCCGGGGTGGAGCCTGGGCCCAGGGCCACGAGTCTCGGAGGGGCGGCGCTCACCAAGTCCACTGCTGGGCCTGGACCAGGGGGTGTGCTGTCGAGTACTGGGGGGCGCCGGCCGAGCTGTACTGGGCGTTGTACTGCATGTGCTGCAGCGACTGCGCGCTGTAAGCCGAAAAGGGGATGCCCGCCTGGAAGGTGGCGGCTGCCAGGTCCTGGGCTTTGAGCGCGTGGCACGGCTTGCCGTCCCTGACCAAAACCGGCACGGCCACGCGGCGCGGCGAGGGCAGGGGCGTCACCTCCATACCTTTCTCGGCCCGGGCGCGCTTCATCTTGTAGCGATGGTTCTGGAACCAGATCTTGACCTGCGTGGGCGTCAGGCGGATGAGGCTGGCCAGGTGCTCGCGCTCGGGCGCCGACAGGTACCGCTGCTGCCGGAAGCGCCGCTCCAGTTCGTAGGTCTGCGCTTTGGAGAAGAGGACCCGCCGCTTCCGCTTCTTGCCCGCGTCCCCCCCGCCGCCCGGGGTCTCCTTGTCATTGTCCGGTGACTCGTCGGCGGAAGGCTCCGGAGACTTGGAGCTGGAGTCCTGGGGCGCCGCGCTGGCCGCCAGCCCGTGCACTGAGGGAGAGAGAAGCGCGTCAGGCGCCGGGAGGCCGCGCGCCAGGGCAGCCGGACCCTGCGCGCCCGGAGCCTCCGTGCGCCATCGGTCCTCCGCGCCCTGCGGCCGAGCCCACTGCCTTCGCCTTGGCCCCCCGCACCCCCTCCCCCCCGCTCTGCTCCACGCCTGATGGAGCCGTTGGCATCCGCCAGGCGAAAGAGGGGAAGCATCAGGATTGGGGACTCAGGGCTTATGTTTCTGGGGGTTCGCACAGTGTGGGTGCATATTTGGGGGGAGTGGCGCGCGGGAAGATCATCGCGGGTTAAGGGCTTCTGCCCCCTTAAGCAGTTTTCTTCCCGGAGAGACGTGGGCAGATTTTTAAAAGAAAAGCCGGGCATTGATCAGCTCTGGCATTTAAGGCAGATTTTGGGGGCTTTTCTTTTTTTGTTTTCGGACTTTTTTTGAACACCCTCCACTCCACACAAAGCGTCCTCTATGATCCGTCAAGGGCCAGGTGAGCTATTTATACCCGGACCAACAGCGCCCCCCCTTCCCCACCCTCTACCG